GAAGTGATTTTTTAAAAAATATTTTATTTATTTATTTTTATTGGAAAGTCAGATCTACAGAGAGGAGAGACAGAGAGGAAGTTCTTCCATCTGAGTCACTCCCCAAGTGGCAACGCTGGAGCTGAGCCGACCTGAAGCCAGGAATCAGCCAGGAACTTCTTCTGGGTCTCCCATGTGGGTGCAGGGTCCCAAGGCTTTGGGCCATCCTTGACTGCTTTCCCAGGCCACAGTCAGGGAGCTGGATGGGAAGTGGAACAGCTGGGACATGAACTGTTGCCCATATGGGATCCCATTGTATACAAGGCAAGGATCTGAGTCACTAGGTTATTGCACTGGATGCTGGAGCGGGTTTTTTTTTTTCTTAATAATTGACTTTAGAAGAACCATTCATGAGAGAAGGAAGATCCCACATGTTAGCCATTTATAGTACCATCATTAAATCACTATCAACCCCTGTTTTCTTTCTCTTTCATGAGCATGTCATAAAAAATCATTTTAGTCCCTTAAAAAAACTATGCTGGATATCAAGAAAGTAATATTTTTGTTAGCAAGTGGAGGTGATTTTAAAATTATTGTTCTGGGGCTTAACATGATAGCCTAGCGGCTAAATTCTTACCTTGCATCCATGGGATACCATATGGGCGCATGTTCGTATGCCAGCCCCATTGTTCTGGGTGTAGTGGGTATAGAAGAAGAAAAGTTCCTATTTAAAGCAATTTTTACAATTGTCAGTTATTGTCTTGCTCCCTAATAGTTAAATTGACAATACAACCTAATATTTTTTAAAATGTTATTATTTGAGAGTAGAGAGAGACAGTCCCTACTCCATTCTTCCGGTTTATTGGCCATTGCATCGGCCAATTGTGACTCCCGTGTGAGTGGCAAGAAGTCAGCTGACTGCTGCCTCCTAGTTCTGCATTAGTAGAAAGCTTCACTCAGGAGCTAGAGCTAGGACCTAGGTCTGAACCTAGGTCTGCAGTGTTGGATGTGGCATCCTAGTCAGCAGCTTAACGGCCTTCCCCTCAAATTAATATTTTATTTTATTGTTTTTTTTAAGATTTATCTTTAATACAAGGTCAGATATACAGAGAAGGGGAGAGAGACAGAGAGGAAGATCTTCCATCCGGTGACTCACTCCCCAAGTGAGCACAACGGCCGGTGTTGTGCTAGGACATGAGCCAGGAGCCAGGAATTTCCTCCAGGTCTCCTACATGGGTGCAGGGTCCCAAGGCTTTGCGTCATCCTCAACTACTTTCCCAGGCCACAAGCAGGGAGCTGGATGGGAAGTGGAGCTGCCGGGATTAGAACCAGCACCCATATGGGATCCCAGCACGTTTAAGGTAAGGACTTTAGCCACTAGGCCACACTGCCAGGCCCCTTAAATTAATATTTTAGAAGATATGATTGAGCCTGGTGCAATGGCTCAGCGGCTAAATCATTGCTTTGCAAGCACCAGGATCCCATATAATGCCAGTTCGTGTCCTAGCTGCTCCATTTCCCATCCAGCTCCCTGCTTGTTGCTGGGAAAACAGTCAAGGACAGCCCAAAGCTTGGGACCCATGTGGAGACCCAGAAGAAGCTCCTGGCTTCAGCTCGGCTCAGCTCCGGCCATTGTGGCCATTTGGGAAATAAACCAGTGCATGGAACATCTTTCTGCCTCTCCTCTGTAAAGCTACATTTTCAATACATTTAAAAAATAAATGTTTAAAAAGTTGTATTTTTTTCCTTTCATTAAATTTTTAATATATGAATGAGAAACATATTTTTAAGTTTATTTATTTGAAATTCAGAACAGTAGTATGGGAGGGAGAAGAGATCAATGTTTCATCTGCTGCCGCAAATGACTGCCTCAGCCGGGGGGCGGTCACATTGCCGGCAGGAGCCCGAAACCCCATGGCAATCTCCCACATGGGTGGCCAGGCACTTGCTGATGGGCATCTGGATTATTTCTAGGTTTGAGCTGTTAAGAATTAAAGTTCCCAAGCATCTGGTGTTAGGGCTTTACTGGCTAATCCTCCACCTGCCAGCACTAGCATCCACAGGGGTGCTGATTTATGTCCCAGCTGCTCCACTTTTGATCCAGCTCCCGCCAACGCACCTGTGAAGCACCAGAGGATGGCTCAAGTCCTTGGGCCCTTGCTACTCATGTGGGAGACCCAGATAAAGCTCCTGACTCTTGATTTTAGTCTAGCCTGGCCGTGATCTGATTTTCAAATAATTTAAAAAAGAAAAAGAAACAGAGAAAAAAAGGAAAGAAGGAAACAAAGAAAGTTTAACTTGCTGTACCATAACTAGTTCCAGAAAAAAACTTTGAGAAAAAAATCTCAAAAACATTACTTTTGACATACATGCTTTTCTTAGCTCAAAATTTTAAAATAACTAGTAAGAGAAGAGATCAGGGAATTTTAGGAGGAAAAGAACTGAGAAGGAAAACAAAATAATGGAAAATAGAGACCCTTCTTGCCCCCCAAAAATAAAGACTTCTAAAAATGGCAGAATCCTTTCACACATTTGCTCTGCAATTCCAGTGCTGCCAGCAGCCACCTAGCAAAGCTCCTTGTCAAAATGGATGCAATAGGATTAATATCGATTTTCACGAAGAAATATCTACTAGTATAAGCAAACACGCCTCCCATTTATAGTAAAATAGCGGTGTGGGCTTTCTCTTTTACTCTTAGAAGTAATGTTTTCCCAACATATATCACTTCCCTTTGAAATGTGAGTTGAGTCATAAATTAATGTCACAAATAAATGTCATCTAAAGGGAGGCACCCACATTACAAAGTAGGAAGGTGTAGCTTGATATGAATTGTTAGAGTTGACAGCTCTGTGTGCTTGAACTAAATGTCAGCATGTCAAACTCTGAGATAGTAATAGTTGGAATGTTAAACTGTGGACATTCAAGTTTGCAGCCTAAGAAGTTTTGTCAGTCTTTTCTAGACATTCTGAAATGAAAATGAACAGGTGAATTGAAAACAAAGACAAATGAGTTTAGAGGCTTTTTTTTTGGCATCTCATAGGGATGTTACTTTATACTGGTGATGTTTCCAACAAAACACGTATAAATACATTTAGCATGTTGGGAAACAGACTTGTTAGGTCTTTCAATTTGCCTCTGAGGGAAAGTTATAGGGGATATTTCTCATTACATACTTTGTATCATGTATTATTTAATCTCAAACCAGGACAGGGCATGAAACTTTATCTTACATGATGCCATAATGTACATTAGTGAGGTCAACCCATTTAATCTTAAAATAACATTATCAGGTCAGGGATTTAGCATACAGTATTGTATGAAAACACTGGCAGGGAGACTTCCTCTTCTGCCAGCGATAACTGGTAATGGTATTTCAGACCTTAAATCCTACTAAAACATAGACACAATAAATGGAGAACTTGAGGTGGATAGTTTATAAGAACATGTTTTTCAAAGTAGAGAAAGAATCACTAGGTGCTTGCTGAATTATATGTTGCCATGGACATGGCAGGATGCAATAATGGCGCTATCAGTTATACAGCTGTATAAAAACACAGTCTCTCTCTCCCCCATCCCCCTTAGGCATGAAAATAATAGGCTTGTGTGTAGTTTGGTAAGAAAATTAGAATCATTTAGTTGTTTCAGTTTCAATCTAAGAATACAGAGAGGGGTTGGGGAGTGGAGACTAGCAAACAAACTGGGAAAAATATACATTATGTAATAAAGTATAAAATACATTTCGTAGAAATTAGAGGGGTACCTTGATATGCTGGAAAACTAATGAGTGAAATCCACCAAAATGGATGAGTCCAGTGAAAACACTTGTATTAAGTCCATATATTGCTTGTATGTTTTGTGTGACCTTGAGCCCAGTCACCAGGTTTTTACATTTTGGTTTCCTCACCCATATAACAGAATCAATAATGGTCATGTCCTCCATCTCAAGGGCTATGGTAAGAATTAAAAGTATGAAAACAGCTTGTAAACTACAAAATCCTACACAAATAAAGTGTCTTATAGACTGAAATTTTCCAAGATAGGGGAGTTAAAGGAAAAGTCTAAAAGAGCCTAATCATTTGGGTTTTAATTCCATCACATGTCTTGAAGTATTAAGATGTGGAAGTAAAAGAGTGTTTTTTTTTTTTAAATAAAAACATTTATTTTATTTGAAAGGTCCAGTTGCAGAGAAGGAAACAGGCTAGGCTGGACCAAAGTCGGGACGTCAGAACTTCTTCCTGGGACTATCCTCTGTTATGTTCCCAAGAGCGTCAGTAGGGACCCGGATGGGAAGTGGAAGAGTCAGGACTTGAACCAGCACGCGCGTGGGATTCAAGCTAGCTTCACTGGGCACAGTAAAATATTACCTTAATTTTGTTTATTTGAGAAAGGAGGATAACATTTCTTCACAAATTCGATTGAGAACGTACCCAAAGGAACGTACAGGTGCAGGGCTCCTGTAGGTCTGAGGCTTCCTCCCTGGAACGACTCCTTCCATGAGTCTCACCCACAGAAGAGAGGACGTAGGGAGACTGAGGTGAATGCGAGTAGGAACCAGCAGCTGGAGTTGGAGATGCCTCTGTCCATTCTTAACCACGTGAGGCTCAAGTATCCATCCAGGAAACCTGTTCGGGAGTCGGACACCAGGCGAGTCCAGTTGTCCTTTCGACTCTTGCGGACTCGACGGGAGGGGACCCTGGAATTCTTCATTAGAACACGGTTGCTATGGCGACGGTCTCCAGGCAGCGTGGGCTGAGCTCTCGGGAGGGATAAAGGGTGGGCCGCCGCTGGACCCTGCGCGCGCGCCCGCCACCAACTTTCCCTCCAGACCCGCGAGGGGCGGCGCGCTCCGCCCCCGCCCCCGGGCCGCGCACGTCGGCGCTCGGCGGCGCGCACGCCTGCGGGAGCCCTCTCCAGGCAACCTAGTGCTGATCGCTCGTGCCGGTGCGGCCGTTAACCGCCCTAGCGGGAGCCCGAGCCGCCCAGGCAGCGCCCCCCTCCCCTGGCCGGGCTTCCCCCCACCCCCTTCCCGGTCGGCGCTCGGGGCATGAGCAGCGATGGCTGGCTGTATCCCTGAGGAGAAAACTTACCGGCGCTTCCTGGAGCTATTCCTGGGCGAGTTTCGCGGTCCGTGCGGCGGTGGAGAGCCGGAGCCGGAACCCGAACCCGAGTCGGAACCCGAGCCTGAACTGGTCGCTGCCGAGGCGGCCGAAGCTTCGGTCGAAGAACAAGGAGAAGAGGCTACCACGGTAGCCGCGACGGAGGAAGGGGAACCGGAGCCAGACCCAGAGACCCAGGAGGAGGTAGTGGAGGAAGAGGCGGTGGCGGCCGCCGAGGGAGACGAAGAGGAGGAGGAGGAGGAGGTGGCCGCAGCCCCGGGGCACTCGGCCGTGCGGCCGCCGCCGCAGCCCCAGCTGCCGCCGCTGCCCCCGCTCCCGCGGCAGCTGTCCGAGCGCATCACCCGCGAGGAGGTGGAGGGCGAGAGCCTGGACCTGTGCCTGCAGCAGCTCTACAAATAGTTAAGTAGCGGGGCTCGGCTGGGGGTGGGCCCGCTGTCCTCGACGCGCCGACCTCGGACGAGGCTCCCTCTGTCCCCCACCCCCACTCGGAGCTGCTCCTCACCCCCGCAGCCGCGCGCCTGTCGCCGCCGAAAGCATCCCGGCTCTCGGGCTCGGCCGGTGGGCTGCGGGCTGCCCACGCCCGCCTCGGCCCCCGCGCCGCCTGCCGCCTCGGAACGGCTCCCGGGCCCTTCTCTCTCTCACACACACACACACACCCTTTCTGCTTCGGAAGGTCCTTCCTCCTTGGTCCCGAGTTCCCTCCTCGCCTCTTCTCCTGGAGGTTTCCTCCCACCCGTGGGTCGGTCTGTCTGCGGGCTAGGCTCCTTGTTGTTTGGCGGCCGAGGGAATCGACTCGAGTCTGGGCTGAGCCGCCAGGTGCCTTCTGCGTAACCGCCGCTCGGGCACAGGAATCCCGGCCCCGCGGCCGCAGCAGGAGTCGGTATTCCGTTAGGCGCTCGGTGTGGAAAGTAAAGAGCTCTGTGCATGCTCAAAACACGGCGACCCAGTCTCTCTCTCTCTCTCTCTCTCTCTCTCTCTCTCTCTCTCTCTCTCTCTCTCTCTCTCTCTCTCTCCCTCTAACAACTCGTTTCCGACGGCGATGGGAAGAGATTGATGGAGAGGGGAAAAAGAGTAAGCAAAAATTCACAGTTGAGCCCTAGGCTGAAAGACCCGTAATACACCAAAGTGGAAAAAAGCTGGTTTGATAAAATTGCAATCAGGTGCAGTATTTTCAGTCCATTAAGTACAAGGTGTGTGTGTGGGGGAAAGCAGATGGCTTAGCTACACAGATGAGAGTCTAAAATAGAAAGGTCAAGGCTTTGCCTTTCATCCCATTTCTGGTTTTTAGAGGCTTGAAATAGAGGCGTTTTACAATCGGCCTTTCTTTCCAAGCGGAATTGTTCTGAACCAGTTATCGGAGGAGGGGAGTACTGACCCGGCTCTTCAAATCAGCAGCAGATCCAGGAGTCTTTTGCCATATAACTCATAGTTTAAAGAAAGGTGTTAACTCTGGCCATCCAAAAAGTTTACTGCTGCAAAATTTCACCGCAATTAAGTTCAAACTCACTTCTTGGATTTTCTCAAAAGCCTCGGTGAGAGAAGGGCCTGCGTCGTCTTCATCCATCGCAACAGACACTCGATCAAATTGTTTTCCTGTCCAAACAGCAGCTTATCAATAAGGAAAAAGCATTTAACAAGTCACCTGTACAAGACCAGGTTGATATTTCACTTTATCAGCAATCTAAAACTTAATTTTAAAATACTGTTTAGTGACCAAAGTAATAATGATTTTTCGGAGAGGGGTGGGATGTAAAAAAAATAGCGTGTAATACCACTATCCCCGAGATAAAACAGCATTAACATTTTAGAGCATTTCTTTCTAGTCTTTGTAAATTACCTTGAAAGATGCTATTTTTAACACTGTTTAAGGTTACTGAAAGCTCTATGCTTAAAGTGTTTATCCAAGTGAGGGAATTTACTTCAGCATTAAGACTGATTCTATTTTGGCAACAAATTTTTACCTTTGTAAGTGCAGTTGCAAAATGAAACAATGTAACCATTAAGGGATACTCTCCCCCCCAATCATCAGTATAACCCTGAACATATGTCATTCAGGAAGGTTTTCATTTTTAATGAAATCTATATGAAAAGGCATATATTTTCACATGGATGGGAAGCAAAATCAATTTTAATACATACAGAAATTAGAAAAAAAGATTCAGTTACTAAAATGGCCACCTAATTGAGAAATTTGAACTTGAAACAAAACTAGCAAAATTATGGTTGAAAACTATAATTTCACCTTAATCGGAATTCATCATTTAGGCTATTTTGTGCAGAAACTATTAATATCTTTTTTTTATTCTGGTATGAAGTAGCTGGCTTATTTATGTAACCTATCTTAATGGTCTTTGTTTTGTTTTTGTTTAAAAATTGTTTTTATTGGAAAGTCAGATTTACAGAGAGAAGGAAATACAGAGAGAAAGATTTTCTGTGTGCTGGTTCACTCCCCAAGTGGCTGCAGTGGTCACAGCTGAGCCAGTCTGTAGCCAGGAGCTGAGACCTTCCTTGGGATCACCCACTCGGTTGTAGGATCCCAAGACTTTGGGAGTCCTGGATTGCTTTTCCAGGCCACAAGCAGGGAGCTGGATGGGATAAGGAGCAGCTGGGACATAAACTGGCACCCAAATGGGATCCCAGTGTATGCAGGGTGAGGATTTAGCCACTAGGTGATTGTGCCGGGCCCTGTCTTTATGGTCTTAACACAAAAATTCACTGCTCTGTTTAGTTTCCATTTTATGTATTAAGGAAAAGCATAGGACTTAGATGTGAGAATTAATAGTGGAAGATTCTAGGGATAGGTTTTTCTGTCAAGCACTTCATTTTATATATGAGAAAACTATGAATCCAGATTCATAAGTGATGTGTATGTACAAATAATCCCAGCACTTTCCAGTGTACTTGTTAAACTTCAAAACTCTCTCTACATACTTGAAATGCTAATTTCTCCAATTTCCTAGGAAATAATTTTAAGTAATTGTGATTACAAATATGTTGCAGTTGCTTATATGGGGAAAGTGGAACAAATTTAACCAAAAAAATACTCTTGATAATTCTTTTTTTATTTTTATTTTTAACATTTATTTCATTATTTCATGATACAGTTCCATAGGCTCTGGGATTTCCATTCCCCCTCCTCAAACCTCTTCATCCCCCAAGTTCCCCTGTATTATTACAGTAATATAGTCCTTCATAAACAAAAGTCTATCATTCTGTTATTTAAGTGTATCCTGACATTGTAGGTAGGACAATAGCAGAGAGTACAGTGCCTATTTTGAAGATATATTTATCAATTTCATTGGGAGTTCATCTTTGATTATTTCAATAATTCTTAAAAGTGTCTAACACCGTTTTTGCTGAAAGTGGGTGTTTGGCACAGTGGGTTAAATATTGCTTGGGATGCCCTGCAATCCCATTTCAAGAAATCTGGTTTAATCCTGGCTCTTTTTCCACTCCATTCTGTATAAAAAATATAGTTGCTTCTTTCTCTAAATTTAAATGTCCCCAAGAAATTAATATACTTTCTGATGATTCAAGTTTAGGATTTGTGAGGTAGCAGGAGATGTTAATTTAAAAATAGAAGTTTTATAACTTTTGAAATAATTTGCAAATAACCTACAGGGGTGAGTGTTTGTCACAGCAGTTTGGTTGTTTGACAAGACACCCACGTCCCCTATCACAGTGCCTAGTTTGAGTCCTGGTTTCTCCTTAGCCAGCTTCATGCTGACGTATACCTTAGGCGGGAGTAGAGGATGGCTAATGTATGTGGGTCCTTTGGCCATTGCAGGCTTTTTGGGAGAGAACCAGCAGTTGAAAAAATCTCTTTCTCTCTTGCCTTTGAAATAATACAGAAATAAGCAATCCAAGTTTTTTTTTTTAATTGATTTATTTTTATTGGAAAGACAGATCTACAGAGAGAAGGAGAGACAAAGATCTTGCATCTACTGGTTTACTCCTCAAATGGCTGCGGTGGCTGAAACTGAGCCCATCTGAAGCCAGGAGCCAGGAACTTCTTCGGGTCTCCCATGCAGGTGCAGGGTCCCAAGGCTTTGGGCCATCCTCCACTGCTTTCCCAGGCCACAAGCAGGGAGCTGGATGGGAAGTGGGGCTGCTGGAATACCAACCAGTGCCTGTATCAGATCCTGATGCTTGGAGGGGGAGGATGAGCTAATTGAGGCATTATGCAGGTTCCACAACCTTTTTTTTATTTTTTAAACATATCACATATGGTGAGGGGGGCACAATGGCTCAACTGGCTAATCCTCTGCCTGCTAGCCACTCGCATCCCATATGAATGCTGGTTCATTTCCTGGCTACTCCACTTCCGATCCAGTTCCCTGTTTGTGGGTTGGCACATCAGTGGAGGATGATCCAAATCCTTGGAACCTTGCACTCCAATGGAAAAACTGGAAGAGGTTCCTGGCTCCCAACTGCAGATTGGCTGAGCTCCAGCAATTGCAATCATTTGGGAAGATGAAAGATTTTTCTCTATCTCTATTCCTCTCTATAAATCTTCCTTTCCAATAAAAAAAACAAAAATCTTGAAAAAAAATTGTATGAATCATGAAGGAATTTGGGATAGGTAAGAAAAACCATGAAACTTTTATCTCCTTTTATATATGTAGATAGAAGTGAGTGATTATAAGTTATATAATATCACTCATTTTAGAGTTTAACATTTTTCTTACTAAAAAGAAATAAATACTGTAAGTGGAGGAAGTAACATGGGGCAAAAGAAAACAAATGCCATTCATTGTTAAGCATACTTTTTTTAAGGTTTTTCTCCTTCCTCTCAGATTGCTACTTCTTTGTGACCTTTTTAAAATATATATATTTATTTGAAAGGCAGAGCAGTAGAGGGAAAGGGATAAACAAAGACAAAGATGCTCCATCTGCTGCTTTCCCCTACTCCTCGCCAAATGGCCTCAATCCTCAGGACTGGGCATGGCTGAATTTTGAAGCCAGACATTCTGTCCTAGTATCCTATATGTATGGCAAGGCTCCTATATGTATGTTACCAGCTGCCTTCCGGGCACATTAGCAGGAAGCTGGATTGGAAGTAAAGCAGCTGAAATTCAAACCAGCACCTTGGTAAGGAATGTAGTCATCACCACAGGGACTAACCCCTATCCTGTAACACTGGCCCACTCTGTGAAATTCTATATTCTGTGCATACCCTCATTTTGGTGTTCTCTCCTTGACATCCTTCTCGGATCTGGTTGACTTATTTGTTGCTAGTCAGTATCAATCTCTCATGTAACCTTGGGTTATTGTACTTATGGTAATCGTCTCTAACTTGTACCTCCATCCTTGCTCTGTTAAAGGAACAGCTTTACTTGGATGTCTAAAAGCCTCCTCAGAATAAACTGTCCAAATTGAATTCTACCCTCCCCTTACC